TCATCTTTCATTTGATTGTTGGTAAGACTCTCACATTCATATTTGTACTTTGTATAGGCTGTACTTAAGTATGTTAATCTTTCACCTGAATGTTGGTAAGACTCTCACATTCATATTTGTACTTTGTATAGGCTGTTCTTAAGTACGTCAATCTTTCATTTGATTGTTGGTAAGATTCTCACATTCATATTTGTACTTTGTGTAGGCTGTACTTAAGTATGTAATCTTTCATTTGATTGTTGGTAAGACTCTCACATTCATATTTGTACTTTGTATAGGCTGTACTTAAGTATGTTAATCTTTCACTTGAATGTTGGTAAGACTCTCACATTCATATTTGTACTTTGTATGGGCTGTACTTAAGTATGTTAATCTTTCATTTGATTGTTGGTAAGACTTTCACATTCATATTTGTACTTTGTATAGGCTGTACTTAAGTATGTTAATCTTTCATTTGATTGTTGGTAAGACTCTCACATTCATATTTGTACTTTGTATAGGCTGTAATTTTTCACCTGAATGTTGTTAAGATTCTCACATTTATGTTTTTACTTCGTATGGGCTGTACTTAAGTATGTTAATCTTTCATCTGTATTTTTTTACTGTATACACATATACTTTGAAGAACTGTATCATTTAGAAGACTTGCTTGAAAAGTTCAAGTACCATTACTTCCTTTGTATATGTTGAACTACTGTTGTTGTAGTGCACTAAGTGTGCATGTGAAAGAAGAGAGCAATAATTTGTAGTGAGTTCACCCAAAACATAATTTATGTTAATTACTGGAAATAGTTTTATATCTCTTCTATATAGTATTACTTGTTTGTAGGTAACATGACAGTGTTTTGTAATTAGAATTTTGTAGTGTTTCAAGGTTGATTAAACAATGTTGTTATAGTGTTTGATAGTTGATATTTTGTAGTGTTTCAGGCATAATTTAAAGTTTCATGTATCTCATAAGTGTTATCCTTTATCTTCTTTCAGATGCAAAACTTGAACAATATAATCATGTTTCCAGTAGACAATCTGCTGAAAGGAGATCTCCGTGGTGTGAAAGGGGTAAGGAGATTATTTTATTATAGTTTCTTTTAGGTTTACCTTAGTAGGAAACTTAGAATCTCTCACAACTGCTCTTCCTAATTGACCAAGATCATCTCATGCCACAAGAAGTGGAGTTTAAGATTTGGCTGGTTCAGTGTTGTGGAAGGATTGTTTAAATGATAGAGTTAAGTTTTGACAAAGGATAGATAGAAAGCTGCTTACATGATGGAATTTAAATTTGGCTGGTTTAATGTTGGTGAAGAATGAATTGAAAGATGCTTGAATGATTTGTACTTTGAGAAGTTATTTTCTTTTACATATAATTTCACATTTAATGAAATGTTTGCTTTATTTTTAATTGTAGTACATAATAGCCTTGTGGTTGTTTGCTTTTCCATTAATACTAATACATGTTTTTGAACCAGTATGTTTGTAACTAAGAAGTTGTAGGACTAATGCTGGTTTCCATTTGTGTGATATTAAAGTTGGTAAAATGTAAAGAATGGAATGGGTTGTTTCAGAATTGGGAAAAGTTATAAAATATTAACTAATTCTAGAAAAAAAACTTTTAACATTAGAAGATGTGAAAGCTAAGAAGTAAACTTTCAAGGTTAATACTATACTTAACATTAACACTGATAAGCCGCATTGTAGAGTTTCAACAAGGATTTCAGCTTTTACACCATGAACTAAGTAAATTGAAGAATTATCTAGAGACTATGTGCTATACTTAACATTAACACTGATAAGCCGCATTGTAGAGTTTCAACAAGGATTTCAGCTTTTACAACATAAACTAAGTAAATTGAAGAATTATCTGGAGAAGATGTGCTATACTTAACATTAACACTGATAAGCCACATTGTAGAGTTTCA